GGGAATTCTGGGAGTCGAAGGCCAGACATCTTCAGCCCCCAAGGTGGCTGGTTGGGGAATTCTGGGAGTCGAAGGCCAGACATCTTCAGCCCCCCAGGCTGGCTGGCTGGCTGGGGAATTCTGGGAGTCGAAGGCCAAACATCTTCAGCCCCCAGGCTGGCTGGCTGGCTGGGGAATTCTGGGAGTCGAAGGCCAGACATCTTCAGCCCCCAGGGTGGCTGGCCGGCTGGGGAATTCTGGGAATCGAAGGCCAGACATCTTCAGCCTCCAGCCTGGCTGGTTGGGGAATTCTGGGAGTCGAAGGCCAGACATCTTCAGCCCCCAGGGTGGCTGGCCGGAGAATTATGGGAGTTGAAGGCCAAACATCTTCAAGTTGCCAAGGTTGAGAAATGCTGGGATAAGGAATAAGCCACAGCCCTTTCAGGCTGAGGGGTGGGGGGAATGGGATAGAAATCTGTTGAAAGGAGTTATATTAAATGGGTTGAAATTTCAGAATAACTGAATAACAAGAGTTGGAAGAGACCATGAAGGTCTTCTAGTCCAACCCTTTGCTCAGACGGCAATAATGGAATTGGAATAGTCTTTATTGGCCACGTGTGATTGGACACACAAGGAAGACCCTAAACTAAACTAAGGAGACCCTAAATCAGTGCTTCTCAACCTTGACTTCTTTAAAGGAGTGTGGGCTTCAATTCCCAGAATTCCCCAGCCATCTATGCTGGCTGGGAAATTCTGGGAGTTGAAGTCCACTCATCTTAAAAGTTACTAAGGTTGAGTCACTGCCCTGCCTAGACCATTTCAGACAAAAGGTGGTTCAGTATGGCCTTGCCTTACTGAATGATTTATTCCTTGGCCTGGCCCTTGCTTGGGGTCTTCCTTTGATTTCCAGATGAATTATTTCCTTCCTTTTCTCCAGGGAAAAAAAACATTTCAACCTCAAGGGGAAAAAAACCCATAGTTCAGTTGCCTTCTGAAAAAAGCACCTTTGAGACAACCATGACCTGGATGATTGAGAATCGTCATAGACGCTTATTTTCAGAGAATTTGAGAAATTGCCCTGATTTCTGTTGTGCTTATACCCAGAAGAGTGGTCACCTGCCATCTTTGCAGGCCCTGTGAAGCTGTATTTATGTCATTTTTGTTTTTTTGAATTGGATAATGAGCGAATTAGACTCTTCAATAAACATGGAATAAGAGTCTAAAGGCATGGAGGTGGCTTAGGGCAGGAAAATGAAATTGGTTTCAAGCCTGTTTGCTTTTAGAAATCTAGAACCCCACGTCCTGGTTAGAAAAGGCTTGTGGTGAGAGATGATCTGGGTTTGAATGCATGTGTGACTTCTTCAAACAAAGCCTAGTAAACAAGGAAGTTGTGCTGTAGTAAAGTGAACTGAGGGCAGTAGTGCAGATCACGATAACAATAAAAGCAGTGGGTTTGGATGAGTGTGTTGTTATTGGATTACAAAATCTGTATTTTTGTTTTCGGATTTCAAAAAGGATTCTTAACCTGCCAGTTGGAACGAAAAGATCTTGGGAAAGGGAGTTAGCAAGATGAAATTTTAATAACAATGGGAGGTTTACGAGTTTCCGGCTTTTTTCCCCCCAAAAGTGAATGTTGGGAATATTTCTGATCTATTGGATCTCCAGGCTGTTAAATGTGTTTTGAGAGTGTACTTGCTTTTATTATATTCACAGATCCTAAAATTTGGCAATTTGGAATTTTGCAAAGTATAGAATAAACACAAGTGTGGAAATAGGAAGAGAAGCTTCTTTGCATGTTTGAGTTTTAAGTAAATAAATCTGTAATGCCCTCTTTGGATAAGGCTCTTTATGGGTACTTTTGCATTTCAAAAGGCTTCTTGTGTCTGCAGGGAGCCTTACTCTATGCAAAGAGCTATACAGTTGGCTGATTTCAGCAATCTGCATAGTATTTTTGCTAGTTTTCCACAATTTGCATGACTTAAACTAGGAACAATCAGTGGTGAGCTTTTCAGTTTATGAGCCTGTAAGTTAAAAAATTTGGTGTTCCCCATGCCTGCTGATTGGAAAATTTTAAAACTCATTTGTGCTGTTTGCTTTTCCAGTAGAATGTTACAGTATGTACTTTCAGAGCTCTCTCGTTGTTAAAAAAAAAAAACTAGGGCAATGTATGTTCTTTATTGCTAGATATTGTCAGGGTTGGTTTTTATTTTGGCTTGGTTCAATTGTTAGGAGATGAAAAGGGGTTATTTGATTGAATTTCCCACTTACATTCCAGTAAATTTCCTTTTATTTTGGAATAAGTAGTAACTCAAGTCCTTTCCTGGGTAACACAGAGTGCAAAAAACATCAGAGTAGATGTATAGTTGCTGATAACTTCTAAAGCAGTTCTGTTCCAGTTATCCTGATATATTCTTACTTTAGAAATAAGGATAAACAGTCTTGGGATTTAACTGGAAGGAAGAATACGAAGGGTTTGCCCTTGGAAATTCAGATGAGCTTTTTTAGAAACTTATATGTGCTTATATAGAGCAACTTGCAAATGATAGCAATCTCCTTTATTCAAGATAACATTTGTAAGGATTACTGGTAGGTGGCTTGGCTCTCTTTTGGAAAGAGAAAAATTCAAGGAAAGTAAGGTAGGAGGAGAAAAAACTAGATATGCATTGGCAGCTGAAATTTAATTGTGCATTTGTTGAAAAGGTTCTGTGAAAGACACAGAAATAAACATTTTGGAGCAGTGGTTTTCAACCTGTCCTCACAGGGGGTCCACGGAGGCTTGAAGAAATGTGACAATTTAAATCTTTTAAGTCTTGGGGCGGGGTCCGTGGCCACAAAAGGTATTTAAAGGGGGTCCATGATGAAGAAAAGATTGAGAACCGCTGTTTTGGAGGATTCCTGGCCTCTCTTAAACTTGTTTTATTTGGGAAGGTATTTTAAATGCCTCGTTCTGTTCTTCTAATATGAGCATCCATTAGTGCTCTGATCTGCACGTACTTAAGGCTCATGGCACAACTTCAATTTCTCATCCTGAGTTACTAAAAAGTTAGCAGCGAGAGGGTAAAATAAGTTTAGGAAAGGGCCAGAATTGTGGTGAAATCTTCCTGAAAGTACAAAGAGCGTAGTTTTGCTCCTGTTTTGGGTTGGTGAAATCCGTTCTGTTTATGCCAGTTACGATCCTGCAGGTTATACATGTTTACAACGAGGATTGAGCCAAACTGGGGAACTCTAGAATGTTCCATTTTGCCCCCAGGATGGCAAGGTCCAGAAGGGCAGTGTTGCATTCCCAATTTTTCTCAGTCTTGGCAGCTTTTAAAACGTGTGGACTTCCAACTCCCAGAAGTGGTGGGGGTTGAAGGCTAGGGAATTCTGAGAATTGAAATCCACGCAGCCTAAAAGTTGCTAAAATTGAGAAATGCTGCATTCCCAAATCATCAAGCTTTGCAATCTCTACTTAGATTTCAAAGTTCTGCGAAAGTAACTGCACGTTTGAATAAAGTTATGGGAGCCTGAAATGTTATTGGAAGATATAATGTGTTTTTTTTCCACCCATAAAGCAGGGATTCCATTTTCTTTCTTTCCCCTTCTCCTTCTCCCTTTCTCATCTCTCCTCTTTCTTTCTTTCTTTCTTTCTTTCTTTCTTTCTTTCTTTCTTTCTTTCTTTCTTTCTTTCTTTCTTTCTTTCTTCTTTCTTCTTTCTTTCTTTCTTCTTTCTTTCATCTTTTTCTTCCTCTTTTTTCTCTCTCCTTTTAAACGTGTTTATAAAATGCCTCTTTTCCTCTTTTTTTTAAGTAAACATTTCATGCTTAAAATATATATGTTATTTGATTGTAATATTGTGGCAAACCGTTTGAACCAGAATTGTAAAACCTGTTTACAAATCAACTTTAAAAAAGAATGATAATGTGGTTTTTAGGATTTCTTAGCTGCTGATAGATAGCATAGGTTTTTTTTTCTACTCTTCCCCTCATCCTTCCATCCAAACATTTCCTAGGACTTTCTTCTCCAGTCTGTTGATTTAAAAAAAAACTGGATTTGAATGCCCGTCTGGCCATCTCCTTCAGAAGCAAGTTACACTCGCAAAATCCTTTTAAATTGTAGTTCTACCTTAACCCAGTGGAGAAACAAACATTAGAATAGAATAGAGCTGGAAGGGGCCTTGGAGGTCTTCTAGTCCAGCCCCCTGCTCACGCAGGAGAACCTATACCAGGGGTAGGCAACCTTGGCTCTTTTATGACTCGTGGACTTCAACTCCCAGAATTCCTGAGCCAGCCATGCTGAGGGGAAAGGGAGAGGTTTCCAAGCTGAGCCATGCTGGCTCAGGAATTCTGGGAGTTGAAGTCCACGAGTCATAAAAGAGCCAAGGTTGCCTACCCCTGACCTATACCATCTCAGACAAGTGACTTGTCTAGCCTTTTTTTAAAAACCTCCCATGATGGAGAGCCCACGATTTCTGGTGGCAAGCTGTTCCACTGGTTAATTGTCCTCACTGTCAGGAAGTTTCTCCTTAATTCCAGGTTGCTTCTCTCTCTGATCAGTTTCCATTTGCTCATTCTTGACAGTCTGAGGGATTTTGAAATAGGGGGTCTCTTAGGATGAGCTGGAGACAGATGTGTCTGTGAGCAAGCAAAGTTTGCTCTGAAAGAGTGGAGAAAAAAGAAGCAAAAGGCCAATTGTTATAAATTATGGTTCCCTTTATGTAAAAAGTTGATGGATAATTAATTTGAAAGGGGGAGGGTTGTTCTTTGCTGGATACCCTTTCCAGAGGATTCCAGACAGGTGGTTTTAGAAGCACAATTCCCTTCCAGAGTGTAGAACGTCTTGTCTCCAGGCAACGTATATGGCCCAGCTCCCGTTCTATATTCCACTTCTCAAATCCATTCAGGCCTCCCCCTTCTCTTCCAGACTGGGACCAGCTCTTTTGCCTGCTAGACCGGCTTCTCCACCAGCGGTTCCTGCGCCTTGGGGTGGTGGGGAGCCCACCCATTTGGGCCAGCCATGGATCCGGCGTTCCCCCATCCATCCCGGGATCCTGTGAGTATCCAGCCTTCTTTCCCTTTTTCGTTTGGAGAAGATGGCACGGTGGGGTTGTCCCCGGGAAGCTCTCGCCTTCTTATTTCTTGACTCTTCTCATTCATAGACCCAAGAAGATGGCATGGCCTCGGACGACTTTGACATCGTGATAGAGGCTATGCTGGAGGCCCCATACAAGAAAGAGGAGGTGAGGAACGAGATATTAAAAATCAGAAATCAGAAGTGTATTAAACCTGTGGGAAAGTATTACTGTGTTGTATTTTGCCAGGGATCCAGAGATAACGATAAATGTTTGCAAGTTCGCTGCAGCGGTGAACGACTCCCATGAATCGTGGGAGAGGGGGAATGGAGGAGGGGAAGGCTTGGGGAAAACGAAAGTAAAGGGCTGTATCTCTTCGAGATGCTGCCTCAAGGTCACCCAGCTGGAAGAAGGAGGGGACCACATACCAAACTGCTGGCTTGGACTGTTATGAAAACATCTTGCCTGAACCTATTTGGTTACACTGGTGGGGGGGAGCAGCGAGAGATATTTGGATATTCTATAGATTTGGAAGACTGGCGCAAACATTTTGGGATAGAAATATTAAATGGACCAAAGCAGTCTCCTACAAAGAAAATCTGTATAAAATGTTTTATAGATGGCATACGACACCAGTAAGATTAGCAAAAATGTTTTAAAATACTTCAAATAATTGTTGGAAATGCAGACAAAGGCCAGGTGCTTAACTATCATATCTGGTGGGTATGTCCTAAAGTGGAAAAGTTTTGGGTTAAGATACATACATGGCTGGGAAAGATGACTAAAAGACAGGTAGAATTTAAACCAGAACTGTTTTTGTTAGGAGCTAATTATGAGAAGGAGTATTTAATATTGCATGTACTGACAGCAGCGAGAATAGTATTTGCCCAATACTGGAAAAATGAAAAATTACCAACTGAAGAGATTTTAATTAAGAAAATCTTAGAATGTGCAGAAACGGATAGATTTAACTTTAGAGATCAAAGAGAAAGAAGATTCAGTTTATTTTAGAACATGGGGTAATTTTTACCAATGGTTAGGAACACAAACTAGTGAGAAATGAATGTGATATGTTATTTTGAATATATATTAGAAGAATGATATGTATTGACCAACTGATACTGTTTATGGTTATCCTTTATCATATTTACTACAGCTATTTACCATTATATTAATTATATCAATTAGTGTTAACATATGTACCCGGACAATAGTCTGTTTGCTAAAGCTTGAAAATGTTATTAGGGGGGGGTAACCCCAATGTTCCCAATCCTGCCCTAATCCCAATCCTTATCTTAACCCTACTCTGAACCTTAATCCCGATCCTATCCCATCCCTAACCCTATAAAACTCAATAAAAACCTTTATAACGAGAGATAAGGGACGGAAAGGTAGAACTTAGGGATTTTCGTGCGCGGTTCTCAGTTCTGGCTTTGCAATACTCCAGTACACTTGACCTTAAATCCAGAGGCTCCCGACCATTTTGGGCACCAGGGACCTGTTCCGTAGAGAGAGGTTTTTCCACAGACAGGAGGGTGCGTGGTTTTGTGTGCTGCCTGCATCCCGTGGATGGCGCTTTGCTTGTGCGGCCCGGTTGCTGGCAGGCTGCGGCCCGGTACCGGTCCACGGACCGGGGGTTGGGGACCCCTGCTCTAATAAACTCTACCTTTCTCGACAAATGGAGTCAAGGATCGTTTCTGTTCTAGAGGTTTTAAGTTGTGGCAGGTCTGACCCCCTGTAATTCAAGATGGTTTTCAAAATATTGTCAAGTTTCCTTCCTTAGCAGAAAAAGAAAAGGCGTAGAAATGCGGGAAATTGTATCAGGTTAAAAATAAGATGGTGTCTCCTTTTCTGCTGAATTAAGCCTCAAGTAGGTTTTCGTAGGCGCAGCTTATGCCAGGGTTTTTCAACCAGTGGTACGGGTACCACCTGTGGTACATTGGCACCTGGCAGGTGGTACGCGACCATCCTAGAAAAGTGGTAGCGGGGGAGGGGAATGAGCTGAACCGGTGGCAACACCGCACAAGCCTGAGCGAGAGACGGCTGGAGGTGCAGGGCTGTCAGGGCTCAGCGGAAGCCCCAGGATCAGTGCCGCTTTCCAGCTGATTGGTGCTTCTTCGGGGCTGTCAGGGCTCAGCAGAAGCGCCAGGATCAGCGCCAGGCTCCAGCTGGAGCTCGGCGCTGATCCTGGTGCTTCTGCTGAGCCCAAAGAAGTGCCGATCAGCTGGAATGTTGCAGCCTCTCCAGGGTCTTGTGATTTACATTCAGATGCTTGGCAACTGGTTCATATTTATGACGGGTCACAGTGTCCCAGGGTCATGTGAAGTGACCAAAACCTGCTGTAACCACCCAACAGATGGGGGGAATAAAAACCAAACACCCCACCCCCACCCCCGCCCCCGCTGCCAATCCTCAACAGAAATGCTCACAACAATGGAAACCTCGGACAGGAGGAAGAGCGCCGCCGGGCGGGCAGGCAGGTGTCTTGCTCGGCTGTGGCTTGGGGGGCTCTTTTTTCAGTGCCATTCTAACTTCGAACAGTCACTAAGCGAACTGTTGTAAGTCGAGGACTACCTGTACTTTATCACTTTTTCCCTTTTCTTTTTTTTTTGGGGGGGGTCATCACGTTTTTGACACCTTGCTAGGCGACTGGTGGTACTCGGATGTTGCCATCTCCTAAAAGTGGTACAGTGGGTGAAAAGGTTGAAAAGCCCTGGCTTATGTCTCCCAGACACCCCATCTCACCTCCAAGAAGGGCAGTCTGACAGAGGTTGAAGAGGAAGACAAAGGGTGGGTGGGGATCCAACACCCAGTGTTGCTGGTCTCCATTTACTTGGAAGTGTGTCTTACGGCCACAACTGAGCCCCACCTTTCCGCGGCTAATCAAAACCGCCGTTAAGTGAGCTTTGCTCTGTTTTACGACAATCTGGCTTCCCCCATTGACTTTGCTGGTCAGAAGGTCACAAAAGGATTCCCATGACCCTGGGCTGCAGCTGTCACGAACCGGTCGCCGAGCTTCTGAATTCTGATCACGTGGCCGTGGGAACGCTGTGGCGGACCTAAGCGTGGAAAACGATCAAAAGTCACTTTTGGGGGGTGCTGTTGTGACTTTGAACGGTCACTAAGGGGACGCTTGTAAGTCGAGGGCTCCCTGTCATGGAAACGCAAGCGTCCCCTTTTTCGTCGTTTGCCGCTTGTGCCGACCTCGTTCTCCAGTCCCGGCAACTCTTGTCGTCCCGAGTCTGCGTTGTGCAGAATATTGTGTTTTAAGGATGACGATCGCGCCAGTCTGCAAAGACGGTTTCAATCTGGATTAACCCAGCTCTAAACTCTTATATATTAATATTTATTGGAGACAATTCTCTCAGTTGTCCCCCTCGTTCTCAGCGCTCTCGGTAACGAAAAATGCAAACATTGAGAGATGATGCGAGGTGTTATGTCTTATTTGGGTCAAAGTGATTGTGCTGGTCGGAGTATATAGCCACCTGGTCAGAGCATATAGCTAGCTTAGGAATTAAGAACTGTTCCCTTAAGGCAGGGCTTTTCAACCTTTTCACCCATTATACCACTTTTAGGATATGGCAACATCCGAGTACCACCAGTTGCCTAGCAAGGTGTCAAAAACTTGATGATCAAAAAAAAAAAAAAGGAAAAAAGTGATAAAGTACAGGTAGTCCTCGACTTACAACAGTTCGCTTAATGACTGTTCAGAGTTATAATGGCACTGAAAAAAGTCCCCCCCCCCAAGTCACAGTCGAGCAAGACACCTGCCTACCCGCCCAGTGGCGCTCTTCCTCCTGTCCGAGGTTTTCATTGTTGTGAGCATTTCTGTTGAGGATTGGGAACGGGGGTGGGGTGGGGGGGTGTTTGGTTTTTATTCCCCCCCGTCTGCTGGGTGGTTGCAGCAGGTTTTGGTCACTTCACGTGACCCTGGAACACCGTGACCGTCATAAATATGAATCAGTTGCCAAGCATCTGAATGTAAATCACAAGACCCTGGAGATGCTGCAACATTCCAGCTGATCGGCGCTTCTTCTGGGCTCAGCAGAAGCACCAGGATCAGTGCCGCTTTCCAGCTGAATGGTGCTTCTTCTGGGCTCAGCAGAAGCACCAGGATCAGTGCTGCTTTCCAGCTGAATGGTGCTTCTAGGCTCAGCAGAAGCACCAGGATCAGCGCCGAGCTCCATCTGGAGCCTGGTGCTGATCCTGGCGCTTCCACTGAGCCCTGACAGCCCCGTAGAAGCGCCGATCAGCTGGAAAGCGGCACTGATCCTGGCGCTTCCGCTGAGTCCTGACAACCCTGCAGCTCCAGCCGCCTCTCGCTCAGACTTGTGCGGTGCTGCCACCAGTTCAGCTCATTCCCCTCCCCTCCTACCACTTGTCTAGGATGGTCGCGTACCACCTGCCAGGTGCCAATGTACCACAGGTGTTACCCGTACCACTGGTTGAAAAGCCCTGCCTTAAGGGATAGCCTTCTGGGTAATGTAGTTTATGTTACCTGGTCATATCTGTGTTAGGATTGGCCACTGGGGGGGACTTCTGTTTTATTACGGGATATCCTGGTTACGTGCCAAGTCAGTGAGGTTTCTACGAATTCCAGCCACGAGGTCTGTGTTAGCTCCGTTAATATGGAAGAAGCTGTTTTCCTTTTACCTATTGGATGGGTCCAAATTACAATCTATATTCCAGAAGAATCTCTACCGTGACTGTTAAGTTATTGATTTGAGGATGCCTGGTGAATAAAGTAATTTGCACAAATCCCTTCCATGGAGTTATTCTGCCTGTATCGAGGAATATCCGGCAATCTCTTTTGCTTGAACCAGGATAGTGACTGGATAGTTCAATCCTTTTTTTCTTTTCTTTCTTTTTTTTTTTTTGCCTCTAAAAATTAGGACTGAAATTCTTAAAGGAACGCGTGAAAAAACGGAGGATGCCCTTTGAAGGTTAGAGTTCAGGATTCTGCCCTCCGCGGTGCAAGTGACAGTTGAAGCCCCCCGCTGATAGCATTCTCTCTCGGGTCGCTTTGCACCTCTAGCTAGCCAAACCGCGCCAAAGTCGGTTGACCACATGTTTTAAGTGGAAAAGGGGGATCGCCTTTCCGTGCCCGCTTGCTCTTGGTGCCTCTTTCCCGCTGAATCCGCTCTTGTTTGTTCCAGGCCCAGCCAGGACCCTCGAAGCCGCCAGCTGACCCCCCCACAGCCCAGGTAATGAATGTCCCAAAAACCGGAAGGGGAGGAGATACGAGAGGGAGCTGGAGGACTACAGCAGTGGTTCTCAACCTGTGGGTCGGGACCCCATTTGGGGTCGATCGACCATTTCACGGGGGTCGCCAAGCAAGGCTGTCCGCCATTTTTTTTTGTCCGCCATTTTTTCCCCCCTTTTCCGGCGGGTGCCTTACCTCTCTTGGGCTGGGCCAGCTGGTGGTCGGCCTGCTCCGTCTCTGCCGCTTGCCAGCTACGCCTCGGCCGGCGCAGGGTGCGGAACCACGCATGCGCGGCGCTCCCGGGCAGGGAAAGTCCTCGACTTACGACCGGTTGGGTAGTCCTCGACTTACGACCGGTTTAGTCCTCGACTTACGACCGGTTTAGTCCTCGACTTATGACCGGTTGGGTAGTCCTCGACTTACGACCGGTTGGGTAGTCCTCGACTTACGACCGGTTTANGGGACCAGCTCTTTTGCCTGCTAGACCGGCTTCTCCACCAGCGGTTCCTGCGCCTTGGGGTGGTGGGGAGCCCACCCATTTGGGCCAGCCATGGATCCGGCGTTCCCCCATCCATCCCGGGATCCTGTGAGTATCCAGCCTTCTTTCCCTTTTTCGTTTGGAGAAGATGGCACGGTGGGGTTGTCCCCGGGAAGCTCTCCGTCTTCTTATTTCTTGACTCTTCTCATTCATAGACCCAAGAAGATGGCATGGCCTCGGACGACTTTGACATCGTGATAGAGGCTATGCTGGAGGCCCCATACAAGAAAGAGGAGGTGAGGAACGAGATATTAAAAATCAGAAATCAGAAGTGTGTTAAACCTGTGGGAAAGTATTACTGTGTTGTATTTTGCCAGGGATCCAGAGATAACGATAAATGTTTGCAAGTTAGCTGCAGCGGTGAACGACTCCCCTGAATCGTGGGAGAGGGGGAATGGAGGAGGGAAGGCTTGGGGAAAACGAAAGTAAAGGGCTGTATCTCTTCGAGATGCTGCCTCAAGGTCACCCAGCTGAAAGAAGGAGGGGACCACATACCAAACTGCTGGCTTGGACTGTTATGAAAACATCTTGCCTGAACCTATTTGGTTACACTGTGGGAGGAGCAACGAGAGATATTTGGATATTCTATAGATTTGGAAGGCTGGCGCAAACATTTTGGGATAGAAATATTAAATGGACCAAAGCAGTCTCCTACAAAGAAAATCTGTATAAAATGTTTTATAGATGGCATACGACACCAGTAAGATTAGCAAAAATGTTTAAAAATACTTCGAATAATTGTTGGAAATGCAGACAAAGGCCAGGTGCTTAACTATCATATCTGGTGGGTTTGCCCTAAAGCGAAAAAGTTTTGGGTTAAGATACATATATGGCTAGAAAAGATGACTAAAAGACAGATAGAATTTAAACCAGAACTGTTTTTGTTAGGAGCTAATTATGAGAAGGAGTATTTAATATTGCATGTACTGACAGCAGCGAGAATAGTATTTGCCCAATACTGGAAAAATGAAAAATTACCAACTGAAGAGATTTTAATTAAGAAAATCTTAGAATGTGCAGAAACGGATAGATTAACTTTAGAAATCAAAGAGAAAGAAGATTCAGTTTATTTTAGAACATGGGATAATTTTTACCAATGGTTAGGAACGCGAACTAGTGAGAAATGAATGGGATATGTTATTTTGAATATATATTAATAAGAACAATGATATGCATTGACCAACTGATACTGTTTATGATTATCGTTTATCATATTTACTACAGCTATTTACCATTATATTAATTATATCAATTAGTGTTAACATATGTACCCAGACAATAGTCTGTTTGCTAAAGCTTGAAAATGTTATTGGGGGGGTAACCCCAATGTTCCCAATCCTGCCCTAATCTCAATCCTTATCTTAACCCTACTCTGAACCTTAATCCCTATCCCGATCCTATCCCATCCCTAACCCTATAAAACTCAATAAAAACCTTTATAACGAGAGATAGTTAAGGGACGGAAAAGTAGAACTTAGGGATTTTCGTGCGCGGTTCTCAGTTCTGGTTTTGCAATACTCCAATGCACTTGACCTCTAGTCCAAGGGTCCCCGACCCCTTGGGGCACCAGGGACCGGTTCCGTGGAGAGGGGTTTTTCCGCAGACCGGAGGGTGCGTGGTTTTGTGTGCTGCCTGCATCCCGTGGATGGCGCTTTGCTTGTGCGGCAGCTGCAGCCCGGTACCGGTCCACAGACCGGGGGTTGGGGACCCCTACTCTAATGAACTCTACCTTTCTCGACAAATGGAGTCAAGGATTGTTTCTGTTCTAGAGGTTTTAAGTTGTGGCAGGTCTGACCCCCTGTAATTCAAGATGGTTTTCAAAATATTGTCGAGTTTCCTTCCTTAGCAGAAAAAGAAAAGGCGTAGAAATGCATATTGGGAAATTGTATCAGGTTAAAAATAAGATGGCGTCTCCTTTTCTGCTGAATTAAGCCTCAAGTAGGTTTTCGTAGGCGTCGCTTATGCCTCCCAGACACCCCACCTCACCTCCAAGAAGGGCAGTCTGACAGAGGATGATGAAGAGGAAGACGGAGGGTGGGTGGGGATCCAACACCCAGTGTTGCTGGTCTCCATTTACTTGGGAGTCCGTCTTAACGGCCACAATTGAGCCCCACCTTTCCGCGGCTAAGCAAAACAGCCGTTAAGTGAGCTTTGCTCCCATTTTACGACAATCTGGCTTCCCCCATTGACTTTGCTGGTCAGAAGGTCACAAAAGGATTCCCATGACCCTGGGCTGCAGCTGTCACGAACCGGTCGCCGAGCATCTGAATTCTGATCACATGACCGTGGGAACGCTGTGGCGGACCTAAGCGTGGAAAACGATCAAAAGTCACTTTTGGGGGGTGCTGTTGTGACTTTGAACGGTCACTAAGGGGACGCTTGTAAGTCGAGGGCTCCCTGTAATGGAAACGCAAGCGTCCCCTTTTTCGTCGTTTGCCGCTTGTGCCGACCTCGTTCTCCAGTCCCGGCAACTCTTGTCGTCCCGAGTCTGTGTTGTGCAGAATGTTGTGTTTTAAGGATGACGATCGCACCAGTCTCCAAAGACGGTTTCAATCTGAATTAACCCAGCTCTAAACTCTTATATATTAATATTTATTGGAGACAAGTCTCTCAGTTGTCCCCCTCGTTCTCAGCGCTCTCGGTAACGAAAAATGCAAACATTGAGAGATGATGCGAGGTGTTATGTCTTATTTGGGTCAAAGTGATTGTGCTGGTCGGAGTATATAGCCACCTGGTCAGAGCATATAGCTAGCTTAGGAATTAAGAACTGTTCCCTTAAGGCAGGGCTTTTCAACCTTTTCACCCATTATACCACTTTTAGGATATGGCAACATCCGAGTACCACCAGTTGCCTAGCAAGGGGTCAAAAACTTGATGACCAAAAAAGGAAAAAAGTGATAAAAGTACAGGTAGTCCTCGACTTACAACAGTTCGCTTAGTGACTGTTCAAAGTTACAATGGCACTGAAAAAAGTGCCCCCCACGCCACAGCCGAGCAAGACACCTACCTGCCCACCCGGCCGCGCTCTTCCTCCTGTCCCAGGTTTTCATTGTGAGCATTTCTGTTGAGGATTGGGAACGGGGGTGGGGTGGGGGGGTGTTTGGTTTTTATTCCCCCCCGTCTGCTGGGTGGTTGCGCAGGTTTTGGTCACTTCACGTGACCCTGGGACATCGTGACCGTCATAAATATGAATCAGTTGCCAAGCATCTGAATGTAAATCACAAGACCCTGGAGATGCTGCAACATTCCAGCTGATCGGCGCTTCTTCTGGGCTCAGCAGAAGCGCCAGGATCAGTGCCGCTTTCCAGCTGAATGGTGCTTCTTCTGGGCTCAGCAGAAGCACCAGGATCAGTGCTGCTTTCCAGCTGAATGGTGCTTCTAGGCTCAGCAGAAGCACCAGGATCAGCGCCGAGCTCCATCTGGAGCCTGGTGCTGATCCTGGCGCTTCCACTGAGCCCTGACAGCCCCAAAGAAGCGCCGATCAGCTGGAAAGCGGCACTGATCCTGGCGCTTCCGCTAAGCCCTGACAGCCCTGCAGCTCCAGCCGTCTCTCGCTCAGGCTTGTGCGGTGCTGCCACCGGTTCAGCTCATTCCCCTCCCCCCGCTATCACTACCCGTACCACTGGTTGAAAAGCCCTGCCTTAAGGGATAGCCTTCTGGGTAATGTAGTTTATGTTACCTGGTCATATCTCTGTTAGGATTGGCCACTGGGAGGGACTTCTGTTTTATTACGGGATATCCTGGTTACGTGCCAAGTCAGTGAGGTTTCTACGAATTCCAGCCACGAGGTCTGTGTTAGCTCCGTTAATATGGAAGAAGCTGTTTTCCTTTTACCTATTGGATGGGTCCAAATTACAATCTATATTCCAGAAGAGTCTCTACCGTGACTGTTAAGTGATTGATTTGAGGATGCCTGGTGAATAAAGTAATTTGCACGAATCCCTTCCATGGAGTTATTCTGCCTGTATCGAGGAATATCCGGCAATCTCTTTTGCTTTGAACCAGGACAGTGACTGGATAGTTCAATCCTTTTTTTCTTTTCTTTCTTTTCTTTTCTTTCTTTTTTCTTTTTGCCTCTAAAAATTAGGACTGAAATTCTTAAAGGAACGCGTGAAAAAACGGAGGATGCCCTTTGAAGGTTAGAGTTCAGGATTCTGCCCTCCGCGGTGCAAGTGACAGTTGAAGCCCCCCGCTGATAGCATTCTCTCTCGGGTCGCTTTGCACCTCTAGCTAGCCAAACCGCGCCAAAGTCGGTTGACCACATGCTTTAAGTGGAAAAGGGGGATCGCCTTTCCGTGCCCGCTTGCTCTTGGTGCCTCTTTCCCGCTGAATCCACTCTTGTGTTTGTTCCAGGCCCAGCCAGGACCCTCGAAGCCGCCAGCTGACCCCCCCACCACCCAGGTAATGAATGTCCCAAAAACCGGAAGGGGAGGAGATACGAGAGGGAGCTGGAGGACTACACAGGCTAAAACTCTTTCCTCCTTTCTCCCTTAGCCATCTCAGGAGGAGCAAGGGAAAGAAGCAAAGAAGGACAGCGCCCCCAGCAGCAGCAATGGGGAAAGCAGCAGGTGAGCTGCCGAGGCTGTGCGGATCCCCCTTCCCTTCTCCTCTCCCTCCTTCCCTCCGTCGGAGTGACTCTCATTGCTGGCTTGCTTCCCCCCTCACAGCAAAAAGAAGAAGAGTAGGAGTCGTAGCAAGAGCCGAGACCACAGACACAGGTAGGGGGATGGTCCTGAAGAGAGATCCCAGAGGAAGTGGGCAGGCCCAGGCTGGGGTCGGCGCAGACGCCCGAGGGGTTCCCCACCTAGGGAAGCTGGCACAGGACCTTTAAAAAGGATGGCGACAATGGCTCAGGAATTCTGGGAGTTGAAGTCCACGAGTCATAAAAGAGCCAAGGTTGCCTACCCCTGCCCTGGAGAAACTTATTACTGCTGCAAAAAAAAAAAAAAGAATTAAATCTGGTTGCTCACACGATTACCTGGCAACCAGTGTGACATGGCAACTGTAATTTGCAGCCTCCGTTAGGGTCCTATGCATCGGTGGGGTTCAAATAGGTGAACAACCGCGGTTCTCTGCGTGGATGCCGCTTCCGGAAGTCCATTCTGGGCCTGGGCAACAAAAAAATTAGCTACCGGTTCTGCCGAAGTGGTGCGAACCAACTGAACCACTGGTCATCTGTTGCTTTTTTTTTTTTAACCATTGTTGCTGCGGCTGTTGATTTGAAAACCCCCGATAAAGTTCCGTAAATAAATGGGAGAGACTGTCCAGATCTTCCTAGGGTTTGTCGTTGGTCAAAGGGCTTGTTCCGCTTTCGAGGTTTTCCGCTTTGTGTTCTCCCACTGGGCTAAACAGAGAATTGGTTCCCTCAGCGATCCAGTTGCAGGGGGAAAAAATGGCAAAAGCCACCCCTCTCTCCCCGATGCACAAATCGGATATGCTTGTCTTCCTATCCGTAGTCGGGACGGAGACCGTCATCGTAAACGCAGCCGAGATCGCCCCAGCCGCCACCGGAGCAGAAGCCGCCATCGGAGCCGCAGTCGGGATCGTCGGCGGGCCAGCCGATCTCGGAGCCGAGAGCGCCGACGGGAAGAGAGGGTCCGCTACCGCAGCCCGCCTCCCCCTGGGTAAGGAGTCCAAAAGCTCGGGCGAGATCGTAGTCTGGTTCTCCCAGAACTGAAAAGATAAAAAGAACGAAAGCTCAATTTGAACTACGAAGAATGAGTGAAGTAACTGGGTATGTCTGTTCTAACGGAGGGAAAGGTAGGGGCGACATGATAGCAGTTTTCCAATATTTGGGGGGCTGCCACAAGGAAGAGGGTGGAGGGGGTCAACCTGTTCTCCAAAGCAGGGGTCCTCAACCCCCTGCTCCATGGACCGGTACTAGTTCACGGCATGCCAGAAAACCGGTCTGCGCAAATAAACGAAGCCCCATCCTGCGGGATGCAGACAGGCAGCACATGAAACCACACCCCTTCCGGTCCGCAGAAAAACCTCTCTCCACGGAACCGGTCCCTGGTGCCCGAAAGATTGGGGGGGGCCTCTGCTCCAAAGCTCCAGAAGGCAGGACAAGAAGCAACGGATGGAAACTAATCCAGGAGAGAAGCAGCCTGGAACTAAGGAGGAATTTCCTGACAGCGAGAACAATCGGTGAAACAGCTTGGCTCCAGAAGTTGTGGGAGCTTCATCACTGGAGGTTTTGAAGAAGAGACTGGACAGCCACACTTGTCTGGGATTGTATAGGGCAGGGGTGTCAAACTGCCGGCCCGTGGGCCGGACGTGTCACGAGGAAACTGCGCCCACCCCATTGCCGGCAATGGGGGAAAAGTTCCGATACGTCGCGCGACGTCACGTGACGTTGCGAGTTTGACATGCCTGGTATAGGGTCTCCTGAAAGAAAGAAGAAAGAAAGAAAGAAAGAAAGAAAGAAAGAAAGAAAGAAAGAAAGAAGAGAGAGAGAGAGAGACAGAGAGACAGACAGAAAGAGGGAGGGAGGGAGGGAGGGATGGAAAAAGAAAGAAAAAAGAGAAAGGGAGAGAGAAAAAGAGAGAGAGAAAAGGGGAGGGGAAAGGAAAGGAACAACTCAGAATTAATAGGAATTTCCTGACAAAACAATAAGTAAAACAGCTTGCTTCCAGAGGTTGTGGGTGCTCAAACACTGGAGCTTTTCAAGAAGAGACTGGGCAGGCTCCATTAGGGTGATATATCGAGGAGTAACCCTAAAAGCCAACACAATGCTAGGCTGCATTAACAGAGGGATAGAATCAAGATCACGTGAAGTGTTAATACCACTTTACAAGGCCTTGGTAAGGCCACACTTGGAATACTGCATCCAGTTTTGGTCACCGCGATGTAAAAAAGATGCTGAGACTCTAGAAAGAGTACAGAGAAGAGCAACAAAGATGATTAGGGGACTGGAGGGTAAAGCATATAAGGAACGGCTGCTGGAATTGGGTATGTCTCGTTTAATGAAGAGAAGGACGAGGGGGGACATGATAGCCGTGTTCCAGTATCTCAGGGGCTGCCCCAAAGAAGAGGGAGTCAAGCTATTCTCCAAAGCGCCTGAAGGCAGGACAAGAAGCAACAGATGGAAACTAATCAAGGAGAGAAGCAACCTAGAACTAAGGAGAAACTTCCTGACAATAATTAACCAGTGGAACCACCTGCCTCCAGAAGTGGTGAATGCTCCAACACTGGAAGTTTTTAAGAAGAGACTGGACAGCCATTTGTCTGAAATGTTATAGGATTCCCTGCCTGAGCAGGGGGTTGGACTAGATGATCTCCAAGGTCCCTTCCAACTTTATTATTATTATTATTATTATTATTATTATTATTATTATTATTATTATTATTATTATTATTATTATTATTATTATGGATCATCGCACAGTTAGCCAGATGTTCAGACTGGATTTGGCATTTTGTCTATCGAGTCCTTACCAAGGACCTGGGATAGACAGATGTGGATGTTTGATGGTATTACAGATTATTATTATTATTATTATTATTATTATTATTATTATTATTATTATTATTATTATTATTAACATACTGTGTCACCCGTGTCGCGATTGTGAGGTCGCTGCTGAAGTTGCAATCTGGGCTTGTGTTGTGTTTCTCTCCAGGCGACGGTTTGGACACAACAAGAATCCCTTGTTCAGAGAAAAAAGCCCTCTCCGGTGAGTATCGCCACTAAAGGGAGTAGCTGAGAGGCCTCATCACATGCCTCGTCTCTTCTCCCGGGCATCCATCCCGTGTCTGAATCACCCCACTTGTCTCCCAACAGGGAGCCCTTGGGCAGCTTGAGCCCCGAAGAGCGTGACGCCCGCACCGTCTTCTGCATGCAACTAGCTGCCCGTATCCGCCCTCGAGACCTTGAGGATTTTTTCTCTGCTGTTGGCAAGGTCAGGTCCCCTTCCCTTCTCTCCGGCTTTGGCAAATCCTTACTTGGCCCCAAGCAAGGGCTTCTGGCCCGTTCTGGTGCTTAGTTCCCACCAGCCTAGTTAGCACAGTCCACGATTGCAGTTAAGCGGAGTTGTGGATTCCTCAGTCTCTTTTATCCCTAATTGGGCTAGTAGTTAAGGCGCTGGCTTAGGAGCCTGGAAACCATGACTTCTACCGTGTTTCCCTGAAAGTAAGGCCTACACCAGGGGTCAGCAACCTTAAACACTCAAAGAGGCACTTGGACCCTTTCCCAGAGAAAAGAAAACACTGGGCGCGCCCGAGGGGGGGTGACCTTGATTGAAGAGTTTAATTAAAAAGAAATGGAGACTGCTGTGGATGAGTTCTCTCCCTCCCTCTCTCTCTCTCTCTCTCTCTGTCTTCCTCTCTCTCCCCCTCTCTCCTTCTCTCTGATCTGCTCACCTGGCAAGCTGGCTTCACGCTGTTCTCCGACAAGCTGACACGCATTCTTATTGGGCTGGCTCTCTCCTGCCCTTGGTCTGCCAGTCCTCTTCCCCCACTCAGTGTGTGTGTGTGTGTGTGTGAGAGAGAGAGAGAGAGAGACTGTGTGTGTGTGTGTGTGTGTGTGTGAGAGAGAGAGAGAGAGAGCTGCTGCTTCCTGCTGAGACGCAGCAAAGGCAGGAGTCCCGCCCAATAAGCTTGTCAGCTTGTCCGAGAACAGCATGAGGCCACTCTCTTTTTTACAGAGAGAGAGAGAGAGAGAGAAGCGCAAGTGCCTCTGTCTCTGTCTCTCTCTCTGCAATTGGCGGAGGAGGCTGGGAGCCACAGGAGAAGGCTCAAAGAGCCACATGCTGCTCCAAAGCCGCAGGTTGCCGACCCGTGGCCTACACCAACAATAAGTCCTAGCTTGACTTTGGGGGATGGGCCTAATATAAGCCCTATCCCAAAAATAAGCCCTAGTTTGGGGGCGAGGCACACCTAAAAATCAAGCTAGGGTGGGGGTGGGGGGGGTGGAGCTGCCCCACCCGCCCCGCACCCACTAATCTTGGAGCCAGGCCTCTCCTCACCAGCCCATTTCTTCTTCTGAGGCCTCTTCTGCAGCCAGGCCTGCATTTCTCAGTCACGGGCCTTTCCGGAAGGCCTGTGCAGCCAAGAACCGAGCTATGAGTTCAATCCATAGCTTGGTTCTTCAAGAGATCTGCAGCTGAGGACTGAGCTATGGATTGAATCCATAGCTCGGTACTCAGCTGCTTAGGCTTTCTGGAAAGGCCTGACTGCAAGACGCAGGCCCGAATGCAGCTGCAGAACCTGGGCCCCAGAAGAAGTGGACCGGCTGGGTGGGGTGTCAGTGCCGGAGGTGAGGTAAGGCCTACCCTGAAAATAAGACCTGGTGACTCTTTTGGAGGCAAAAAAATAATAAATAAGACCCGGTCTTATTTTGGAGGAAACACAGTAGTTCCATCTTAAGACATAAAAACTGGGTGTCTCTGGGCAAATCACCAGGAGACAGGGAATTCTAGTCCCACTTTAGGCGCGAAAACCAGCTGGCTGACTTTGGACTAATCACCAGGCGACTGTGAGTTCTAGTGCCACCTTAGGCAGGAAAGCCAGCCGAGTGACTTTGGGCCAATCACACTCTCTCAACCCAATCCATCGCCTAAGATTGTTTTTGTGGAGAAAATAGGAGGAGGAAATATCGTCGACGTTCTCTGCCTTGAATTGTTTATAAAAAGAATAAAGCTGAGGTAAAACATCTAATAAATTAAAAAAAAAAGAATAAAGGAGACCCAAGCGTGAAACATTTGGCACCTAGGACTCTTCCGGTAACGTTTTCCACTGTCACTTTCGCCCAGGTGCGTGACGTACGGATCATCTCGGACCGAAATTCCCGCCGCTCGAAAGGCATCGCTTACGTCGAGTTTTGTGAGATACAGTCGGTGCCGCTGGCCATCGGGCTGACGGGACAACGCCTCCTGGGCGTACCCATTATCGTTCAGGCTTCCCAGGTTTGAAACCTTTTTATTAAAAAACAAAACAAAAAAAAGTTAAAATCTGCGGCAGGGGTCTTCAAACTTGGCCCTTTGATGACTTGTGGACTTCAACTCCCAGAATTCCTCAGCCAGCACGCCTGGCTGAGGAATTCTGGGAGTTGAAGTCCACAAGTCATCAAAGGGCCAAGTTTGAAGACCACCCACCCACCCACCCCCCGATCTACAGCCAGCAAAGAAATTAGGAAGGAAGGGCGTATGTGCTGAGATTTGATCAGAGGAAGGCAGGAATGCGATATTTAAAATGCATATTAAAAAAAATACCGGTGGGATAGAAAATACGATTTGTGGGATTACGAAAAAGAGCGAGCCGAAGGAAAGACACAATCTCTGATGATTAGATTGAGCACAGTCAAGGAATCCTTAATTTTTAATTTTTCACAATGCTTAATCTATGGGTGTTTCCTGCCTGATGTTCACACGCACACAAAACGGGTGTCAAACCTTCAAACAATTCTGTGGCTGCAGCCATCTCCACGACAGCAATGGCAAGGGGGGAGACACTTCCTTCCGCTTTAGTCATAACAATAACTTTTCTGTGGGAACCAAGGTCAAGCGACCTCAGTTTTGGCGGGCTGGAGCATCCCTTAGAAAGCCCGCCAAAGTAGTTAATTGGGGATTGTGATTTACGACACATTACAGGGGCGGGAAGTTCAGCTTGTTGCCATGGGGGGGGGGACTGTCAGTCTTGGTTTCACCTTTGTTCCTGTCTATACTTCCTCTTCCCGTTATATAATCAAGATGGACAGTATTTAATATTTACTTGCTATGTATAGGCAGGGGTGTGGGTCTGTACATATGTTGTACATAGTATGTTTAGGTGTGTGTCAGGTATGTGTTTCACTTGGGAGAACGGGCAGCTCAATTTCATTTTTTGATGTGTGCCGTGCTGCCCACAGTAAAAAAAAACACACGACAATAAAGGTTATCTCTTTTATCTTACTAGGTGGCCATTAAAAGTGTTCTTTGAGGAAAGCAATTGCCTCAGAGTTCTTCTTCCTACTGGTTTAATCTATCAAAACCACGACAGCAGGAATTTGTGCTTTTTTTCAAAGGGCAACTGGACCTTGTTGTTTTTGTCTTGGAAGCCCTTTCACTTCTCATCCAAGGAGCTTCCCCAGTTCATCTGCATTGCTGAAGAACCGAAGAAGCTTCTTGGGTGAAAAAACAAAAGAAAAAAAACAAAGAGGGTCCAGTTGTCTCTCTGACAAAGCATCTTTGGGGACAACCATGATCTGGATGACTGAGAATCTCTATAGACAAAACAGGAATTGTGGCTTGAAAAAAGGGGTGGGGGCTGATGTTCAAAAATCAGTGCTGTGCCTTGAATGTCCTAATTAAGGGGGTCTTCAAACTTGGCCACTTTAAGACTTGTGGACTTCAACTCCCAGAATTCCTCAGCCAGCCCCTCAGGGCTGGCTGAGGAATTCTGGGAGTTGAAGTCCACAAGTCTTAAAGTGACCAAGTTTGAAGACCCTTTCCTAAATATTCATGGCCCTGCAAATTGGAGCTCTTCCCCTCATTGTTTTTGGCCAGGTAGTCCTCGGTTCACGGCCACAATTGAGCCCCAAACATTTCATTTATGTTGCTAAGCGAAAAACGTGTTAAACGAACCTTGCCTCGCTTTTACGACCTTTCTCGCTCCCGTTGTCAAGCGAACCGCTGCAATTTTGTTAATTTAGCAACGCGGTTTAAGTGAACCTGCCTTTCCCCCCATCGACTTGGCCGTTGAGAAGGTCGCAAAAAAAAAAGCAGCGGTCAGGTGACTCTTGGGATGCTGCGACCGTCATAAATAGGAACCCAGTTGCCAGGCCTCCGGGTTTTTGGTCACGTGACTCTACAGGGACGCCGTTGCGATGTTCTAAGCGTGAAAAAAACGGGCGCTAAACGAACTGTTGTAAATCGAGGACTGCCTGCCCTCCTTTAAAAAAAAATAATGGGTTATTTCTGGCTGGTTTTTGACACACACACACACCCTCCCCAAATCTGTGGTCGTAGGCGGAGAAGAACAGGCTGGCAGCCATGGCTAACAATCTTCAAAAAGGCAGCGGGGGTCCCATGCGGCTCTACGTCGGATCTCTTCACTGCAACATCACCAAAGAGATGCTGCGCGGGATCTTTGAGCCGTTTGGCAAGGTAGGGTGGCAGGAGGGCAGAGAAAATGGGATGTGTGGGGGGGGATGTTGATCCTGGAGCCCCCCCAGGGCACGGCCTTGGCTTTATAACTGGGGCCACCACCTCTCTCCTCCGTAGATTGACAGCATTGTGCTCATGCGGGACCAGGATACCGGACAGTCCAAAGGCTACGGCTTCATCACCGTAAGTGGGGTGGATTTTCTCCGCATGGGGCAGAGCGGGAATCAGCCTTTGCTAAGACACACGCACCCACAACGTAACAGAATCACAGAGTTGGAAGGGACCTTGGGGGTCTTCTAGTCCAACCCCCAAATCAGGCAGAACACCCTACACCAGTGATGGTGAACCTTTTAGAGACCGAGTGTCCAAACTGCAACCCAAAACCCACTTATGTATAGTTGGGTGCCGGGTGGGCGTGGCCCATTGGGTGGATGTGACCTATAGTAGTAGTAGTAGTAGTAGTAGTAGTAGTAGTAGTAGTAGTAGTAGTACAGTTGGAAGGGACCTTGGAGGTCATCTAATCCAACCCCCTGCTCAGGCAGGAAACCCTATACCATTTCAGACAAATGGCTGTCCAGTCTCTTCTTAAAAAGTTCCAGTGTCGGAGCATTCACCACTTCTGGAGGCAGGTTGTTCCACTGGCTAATTGTTCTCACCCTCAGGAAATTCCTCCTTAGTTCCAGGTTGCTTCTCCTCCTTGAGTAGTTTCCATCCATTGCTTCTTGTCCTGCCTTCGGGCGCTTTGGGAAATATGTTGTTTCTTCCCCCTTCTTTGTGGCAACCCCTCAAATATCATGCTGTCATGCTCTTTTCTCCAGTTTACAGAAGCAGAATGTGCCCGCCGTGCCCTGGAGCAGCTGAACGGTTTCGAGTTGGCCGGCCGGCCCATGCGGGTCGGACAGGTCACCGAACGGCTGGACGGCACCACCGACATCACTTTCCCCGATGGGGCTGATGAGCACGACCGGTCAGCTCTGAGCTTGGGGACCACCAGCTCCCAGCTGCAACTGATGGCGAAACTGGCCGAAGGTGAGGCTCCCTGATCAAAATTTGAAAGTGGGGGCTTGGTTCTGTTTTACATTTGGGAAGGTCCGATAGCAACGGGTTAATTCCTTTCGGGGTCACAGAGGTATATCGTGAGGAAGCTTGTTTGGCAGAATAACAGAATTGGATTGGAGGGCGGGGGGAGAAGAAATCTTGAAGTCGGCATTGAAGAGGAGGGACAGAAAATTGCACAAAAAAAGTGACGTTCGACCAATTAGCCAAACAGGACTGTCTCTCGATCGGACGTGGAAGGGAACTGCGTAGATCCAATCTGGGTCGGTCACTGGGACCAGAGACTTTTGTCTTTTGAGCTTTCGGACTGGTCCGAACTTTTCTCTACCGGATTACGTGTGCGTCGGGCTATTCTGATGCTTTGTATCTATGTGGTGGCGTCCTACCGGTTGATTGGTGTGTTGATGGCTGGCGATTGGCTGTTGTTTCCTTGTGATGTCAACTCCTCGGCCCCTAAGTACTTGATAAGCTGGTGGTAAATTAGCACTCCTGTTGACTGACAAGGGGGGCCGTTTCGCAGGCTTCAATCGTTTCCCTGGCTGTTTTTGTCCCTACTCGGTCAACAATCTCAGTAGCTGCGAAATTGAATGTATGTCCTCGTTCATTGCAGTGTGAGGCTACCGATGAGTTCCAGTCTCCTCCGTCTGGCCATTCGCTCGTGTTCTTGCAATCTGGTGGTTAGCTTCCTCCCCATTCGTCCTACGTAAGGTGCAAAATCCCCCTTATCAAGTACTCAGTTTCGCCGCTACTAGGATTGTTGGCCGAGCAGGGACAAAAACAGCCAGGGAAAAATGATTAAAGCCTGGGAAACTGGCCCCTTGTCAGTCAACAGGAATGCTGATTTATCACCAGCTTATCAAGTACTTTAGGGGCCGAGGAGTTGACAGCACAAGGAAACAACAGCCAATCGCCGGCCATCAACACACCAATCAACCAATAGGAAGGTACCTGTGATGACCCAGGGCAATGCAGTCAGCTGGCAATTCAAACGGCCCTTTAGTTGCTCCACATTTTCCCCAAATGCTCCCACGTTTCTGGCAAGCCTCCAAACACAGGAAGACACACACACCTCTGGCTGCAAGCAGTTTCACTGACAGTCTGGTTAAGAGAGGAATTTACTCAGGGCCTCTGAGATAACAAGGAATGACACATACATCATAAACCTAATGGGTCTGTGTGAATACACGCTTGTCTGAACAGTTTCAAAGGAGAAGCCAAAAATACAGTCCGAGTTCTTTAAACATCGAAGCAACGTTGTCAGCCAGTCCAGTGGTCAAGAGTTTCAGGGTTCCCAAGCAGAAGTCACCGAACAAGAGATCAGCAACAACACACACAAATGCCTCTCCACTGCATCTGGCCCTGTTGCGAAGGTGATTGAGATCCTTGTCCCCCTGCGTTGTTCCCTCCTTTGGAGAATAGCTTGACTCCCTCTTCTTTGGGGCAGCCCCTAAGATACTGGAGCATTGCTATCATGTCCCCCCTCGTGGTTCTCTTCATTAAACTAGACATTCCCAATTCCAGCAGCCGTTCTTCGAATGTTTTAGCCTCCAGTCCCTTAACCATCTTCGTTGCTCTTCTCTGCACTCTTTCTAGAGTCTCAGCATCTTTTTTTACATCGTGGTGACGGTATCTGCGCTGTCTTTTCTTCGTGAATAAATTTCCTGACAGTAGCCGGGTGGAGCAGAAACGAGGAGGGCGGAGGTGGTTAGATAAGTGGAGGGAAGGAATTTCACGGGTACCGAAACTTCATTTATTTCCAACTTGTGTTATTTTAAACATGCAATCCACATACATTCAGATACAAGTTTAAACATTAGCAACCAACTAGAGACGGCTATCCCAAAGACATCAAGTGTCTGTGAAGATTCTCAAGTCCTCCAAGTCCGTGCTTTTTTCAGGAGACAACTGGACTTTTTTTGTTTTCTTTCGAAGACGTTTCGCTTCTCCTCCCAAGAAGCTTCCCCGGTTCTGACTGGATGGGGAATGGAAGGATTTGTACCCCTTTGCAATCCTCCGGTCCTTTTGCCTTCTTTTAGACCAGCTGTCTGCAAAAGAATATAAACTAAAAGAAGGCAAAGGACCAGCTGTCTGCAAGGAATATCAATCCTTCCATCCTCCCACCATTCGTAAGATCGGCCGATGCTGTGGGGTTGGCAAGGTGGTGGGGGGGAAAAAATTAAGTGTGAGATGCTAAAAAAAAAAAAAATCCTTGGCCTAACCCTGCTGTTGTTGGTTCTGCAGGACCTTTAATGTTATTTTATTTTTGGGGGGGAACCAGATCAATCCTAGACATTGCCTTCTCTTTGACTATTGCACCGACTGCAGGAAAACTGTCAGATTTTGTCAGATTCGTGCTCGTTTTTTGCGGAGGAGAAAGCAAACTTGCGTTACCTGGAAACACAAGTTTAAAAAAAAAAGAAAAGAAGCCCATTTAGTTATATCCAGGTAGTCCTTGACTTACGACTCTAATTGGTCCTGGAACTTTCATTGCTAAGCAACACAGTTTTTTCAAGTGAATTGTCTCAAGACCGTGCCTGATTTTATAACCTCTTTCGTCGCGGTCCTTAAGTGAATCTGGCTTTGCCCATTGACCTGGCTTGTCAGAAACCATCGGGGGGGAAGATCTCAGATGGCAGTCGTGCGATCCTGGGACGCTGCAGCCATTGTAACACATGCTGGTTGCCAAGCACCCAGGTCACAATCACATAACCGTGGACGCTACCACAGTTCCAATAAAGGATGTAGCTCGGGGTTGAGATGAGGGGTCCTTGGTGCTCTCTGAGCTGGCTTTGTTTTCTTGCAGACGTTTCATGACCCAGACTAGGGAACATCATCAGTGCTAGAAGGGAGGGGGGATTGTGGAGAGAGGAGGAGGAGGACAATGACAACTGTGGGGTCCTTGGTGCTCTCTGAGCTTGCTTGTTTTCTTGCAGACGTTTCATGACCCAGACTAGGTAACATCATCAGTGCTAGAAGGGGAGTGTGGGAGGAGGAGGAGGAGGAGAAATATGGGGTCCTTGATGCTCTCTGAGCTTTGTTGTTTTCATGCAGACATTTCATAACCCAACTAGGGAACATCATCAGTGCTAGAAGGGAGTGTGGGAGGAGGAGGAGGAGGAGAACTATGGAGTCCTTGATGCTCTCTGAGATTGGTGGTTTCCTTGCAGACATTTCATGACCCAACTAGGGAACATCATCAGTGTTAGAAGGAGAGGGTTGTAGAGAGGAGAGGTGGAAGAGAACTGTGGGGTCCTTGATGCTCTCTGAGCTGGGTGGTTTTCTTGCAGACGTTTCATGACCCAACTAGGGAACATCATCAGTGCTACAAGGGAGAGGGGGGTTGTGAAGAGGAGGAGGAAGAGGACTGATGGATCCTTGGTGCTCTCTAAGCTTGGGGTTTCCTTGCAGATGTTTCATAACCCAACTAGGGAACGCAATCAGTGCTAGGAGGGAGTAGGGTTTGCAGAGAGGAGGAGGAGGAGGAAGAAGAGGAGGACTGTGGGGTCCTTGGTGGTCTCTGAGGTTTGTTGTTTTCTTGCAGACGTTTCATGACCCAACTAGGGAACATCATCAGTGCTAGAAGGGAGGAGGGATTGTGCAGAGAGGAGGAGAGGAAGAGGAAGGTGGCTGTTGAGTCCTTGGTGCTCTCTGAGCTTGGCTGTTTACTTGCAGACGTTTCATGACCCAACTAGGGAACATCATCAGTGCTAGAAGGGAGGGGGGTTTGCACTGATGACGTTACCTAGTTTGGGTCACGAAATGTCCGGAAGGAAACAGCCACGCTCAAGAAAGCACCAAGGAGCCCTCACTGCAACTGTTGTAAGCGCGGAGTCCGATCAGTAATCACTTAATTTCAGCACCGTCGTGACTTCTTGGAACAGCTGCTAAACAATTTGCCCGTAAGTCGGGGACTGGCTGCCTTTCATCTTTTGAGGAGGATTTTATCTATTTTCTTTCCTTCCAAGCGACAGTCACGACTGAGCGACTTCAATAAAGGCCTTCAAATATGACCCAAACTAAGGGCTGTCTATGTTCTGGACAAAAAACATCCGTGGGGGATGCCAACTCCCATCAGTCACAGCTCGAATGCTCTCCCGCTTCGGGAAAGACCGCCCGGAGCATGGCAGCCTTCTTCTTCCATCCCCAAATATCTTTTTCCAAGTATAAATTTTTATTATTTTCATCATAAAAAAAAACACATCACAAGTACATCACAATGCTATAATAAAAGCCCCACCCCCCCCGGACTTCCCAAACCTAATCCCAGGATACTATTCAACTAAAAGTAAACTACTATTAATATCCCTAACTCCACAAAATATTATTCTACATAAGTAGGTGAGATATATATATAAAAAAAACAAAAACAAGTTATCTAAAAACCTAAATTATATTCCACCATTCTATGCATTTTTTGAATATAAACAATCCATCTTCTCCATATTAATAAAAATTGTTCATTTGAATGATTCTTCAGATAAGCCAAAATTTTTGCCATTTCAGCAAGATGCGAAACCTTCAATCTCCAGTCCTCCATTGTAGGTAAAACTTTACTCTTCCAATTTTGAGCTATCAACAAACGGGCAGCAGTTAAGCAATACAACATCAAGTTCGTTTCTTTTACATCCAAATTTTGTGTGATACCTAGGAGAAACAACTGAGGCAAAAAAAAAATTCTTCTTTTAAAAATTTGCTGTAAATTCCACCACAATTTTATCCAAAAGGCCTTAATAACCTTGCAAGTCCACCACATGTGAAAAAAAGTTGCATCTTGTTGTCCACACCTCCAGCACTTGGATTCATAATTTTCATAAATGCGAGACATAGTTGCAGGATCCATGTGCCATCTATAAAACATTTTATAAAAATTCTCACGTAAGTTTTGAGCTTGCGTGAATTTCACGCTTCGGGAAAGACCGCCCGGAGCGTGGCAGCCTTCTTCCATCCCCAAATATCTTGTCTTGTGTTTGCCCCACACAGCTGGTTCTGGGATCCCCCTGTCCACCACAGCAGCGGCTCACGCTGCTTTGCAGCTGAACGGAGCGATACCTTTGGGAGCGCTGAATCCAGCTGCCCTGACAGGTAAGATGGGGGGGGAACCCAGGAGCAATTGGGAGTGGTCCCGAGGACAGGTGAATGCATCACAACAACACTGGCTCAGTGTGTTTCAAATTCGGCAACTTTAAGATGGTTGGACTTCAATTCCCAGAATTCCCCAGCCGGCTTGCTGGCTTGGGAATTCTGGGAGTTGAAGTCCACACATCTTAAAATTTGCCAGCTGGGGAATTCTGGGCGTTGAAGTCCACACATCTTAAAGTTTGCTGGCTTGAGAATTCTAGGAGTTGAAGTCCACACATCTTGCTGGGGAATTCTGGAAGTCCACACATCTTAAAAGTTGGAAGATTCCTGGCTGGGGAATTCTGGGTGTCGAAGTTCACACATCTTCAAGTTGGCCATTTGCTGGCTGGGGAATTCTGGGAGTTGAAGTCTCCACATTGTAAAGTCGTCAGCTTGCGTAAACTAATCCAATGAATGCTTCTTGCATTGCACCCAAATATCTCCCTTTAGCGTCTTTTTTTTTTTTTTTTTTAATTCTCCCATGGGAAATTATTCCCGGCTTCCTAACACTTTGCTTATCTTTCTCTCACCCCCTACAGCTCTTAGCCCAGCGTTGAACCTGGCTTCACAGACACTGGCCTCCCAGTGCTTCCAGCTTTCAGGCCTCTTCAGTCCCCAAACAATGTAAGTCGCTAAACAGCAACGTCTGGGGGGCGTTTGGGTTTGGGGGGGCAGGAAAGAAGCTTTTTCATCTTCATTATGTTCCAAATTTGACCTGCAGACCTTTTAAGACCTCACTTAAGATCTATAAGTCGACTCAGGGTGGATTTTTGCCAAACCCAGGTCTTCTCTGCCTCGTTCCCCCCCCCCCCAAAATCTGAGCCAGGCGACCCTTGAACCCCAAAGTTCCCCACAGCCCTTAGATGTTCTGTGAGCAATTTCACAAGACAAAATGACTTAACCGGTGAAGTCCTCGGTGCTCCCTGAGCTGGGTGGTTTTCTTGCAGACGTTTCATGACCCAACTAGGTAACATCATCAGTGCTAGGAGGGAGTGGGGTTTGTGGAGTAGAGAGGGAGGAGGAGGAAGAAAAGGAGGTGGAGAAGTAGGTGGGAAGGGAGAGGAGGAGACCGTGGGATCCTTGGTGCTTTCTGAACTTGGTTGATTTCTTGCAGACATTTCATGACCCAACTAGGTAACATCATCAATGCTAGGAGGGAGTGGGGTTTGTGGAGTAGAGAGGGAGGAGGAGGAGGAGAAGTAGGTGGAAAGGAGGAGGAGGACCGCGGGATCCTTGGTACTCTCTGAACTTGGTTGCTTTCTTGCAGATGTTTCATGACCCAACTAGGTAACTTCATCAGTGCTAGCAGGGAGTGGGGTTTGCAGGAGGAGGAGGAGGAGGACTGGGGGGTCCCTGGTGCTCTCTGATCTTGGTTCTCGACGTTTCATGACCCAGCTAGCTGACATCAGTGGTAGTAGGGAGTGTGCAAAGTGGAGGAAGGAGGAGGAGGAGAATTCAGAGGTGATAGGACGACTTGGTGCTTCTGAACTTGGTTGCTTTCTGGCAGACATTTCATGACCCAACTAGGTAACGCCATCAGTCTAGAAAGAGTTGAGTTTGTGGAGTGGAGGAAGAGGAGGAGGAGGAGGGATGGGACTGGGAGGTCCTTGGGGCTTTCTTAAGCGTGATTGCTTTCTTTTACACATTTCATGGCCCAACTAGATAACATTATCAGTGGTAGAAGGGAGGAGGGTGGTGGGGGCTCTCCGAGCTTGCAGACGTTTCATGACCCAACTAGGTAACATCATCAGTGCTAGAAGGGAGGAGGGATTATGGAGAGGAGGAGGACTGTGGGGTCCTTGGTGCTCTCTGAGATTGCTTGTTTTCTTGCAGACGTTTCATGACCCAACTAGGTAGCATTATCAGTGATAGAAGGGGAGTGGGCTTTGCTCTCATTTTACAGCTAGTCCCCGGCTCACAGCCACAATTGAGCCCCCAGAATTTAAGTTGTTACATGAGAAATTTGTCGAGTGAATTTTGCCCGCATTTGTTAAGTGAATCGCTGCAGTTGTTAAATGAGGAACACGGTCGTTAAATGAATCTGGCTTCCCCATTGACTTTGCTTGTCAGAAGGTCGCAGAAGGGGGAATCGCATCACACACACACAGAGTCAGGGACACCGTGACCGTCATAAATATGAACCGGTTGTCAAGCCTCTTGAGTGCAACTCACACGAGCCAGGGGGAGGCCGCAACGGCCCGTAAGTGTGAACAACGGTCCTTAAGTCCCTTTTTTTCGGGGCCGTTGTCACTTTGGTTGCTAAATGAAGCGTTGTAAGTCGGGGGCAACCGGTATATCCCGCTGGCTTGCCCCGGGAGTGGCCTGAGTGACTCTCGCCTTGCAGATTCTCCGGCGCCTGGATTTGCGCCTCGGCCCCGTAACTTCCCTCCTGGCTCTCGGTTCTCCATCCCATCCTTACTTTTCCACCCTCTGCCCTGTTTTTACGTGAGATCGAGCGGGAAGGGACCTCCGAGGTCTTTCAGTTCAGCCTCCTCCCTGCTCAAATGGTGGGGCCGAAACATAAAAGAAGGCTCAAGTGGTGAGGCTCAGACATAAAAGAAGGCTCAAGTGGTGAGGCCGAGACATAAAAGAAGGCTCAAGTAGTGAGGACGAGGCATAAAAAGAAGGCTCAAGTGGTGAGGACGAGGCATAAAAAGAAGGCTCAAGTGGTGAGGACGAGACATGAAGGCTCAAATGGTGAGGCTCAGACATAAAAGAAGGCTCAAGTGGTGAGGCCAAGACATAAAAGAAAGCTCAAGTGGTGAGGCTGAGACATAAAAGAAGGCTCAAGTGGTGAGGACGAGGCATAAAAAGAAAGCTCAAGTGGTGAGGATGAGACATGAAGGCTCAAATGGTGAGGCTCAGACATAAAAGGCTCAAGTGTTGAGGCCAAGACATAAAAGAAAGCTCAAGTGGTGAGGACGAGGCATAAAAAGAAGGGTCAAGTGGTGAGGACGAGGCATAAAAAGAAAGCTCAAGTGATGAGGATGAGGCATAAAAAGAAGGCTCAAGTGGTGAGGACGAGACATAAAAAGGCTCAAGTGGTGAGGCCCAGACATAAAAGAAGGCTCAAGTGGTGAGGCCGAGACATAAAAGAAGGCTCAAGTAGTGAGGACGAGGCATAAAAAGAAGGCTCAAGTGGTGAGGACGAGGCATAAAAAGAAGGCTCAAGTGGTGAGGACGAGACATGAAGGCTCAAATGGTGAGGCTCAGACATAAAAGGCTCAAGTGTTGAGGCCAAGACATAAAAGAAAGCTCAAGTGGTGAGGACGAGGCATAAAAAGAAGGGTCAAGTGGTGAGGACGAGGCATAAAAAGAAAGCTCAAGTGATGAGGATGAGGCATAAAAAGAAGGCTCAAGTGTTGAGGACGAGGCATAAAAAGGCTCAAATGGTGAGGACGAGACATAAAAAGAAGGCTCAAGTGGTGAGGACGAGACATAAAAAGAAGGCTCAAGTGGTGAGGCCCAGACATAAAAGAAGGCTCAAGTGGTGAGGCCCAGACATAAAAGGAGACGGAGAAGGACCTTGGGGAGGGAGGAAAACAATAAAAGAAGATGGAGAAGGACCTTGGGGAGGGAGGAAAACAAGGCCGGGTGGAGAGGACGGTTGCTAATCTCTCTTATTTTCCCTTGTTTTGCAGGTAAGGCCCACCCAGTCTCCTCCCCCGCCCCCCAATTTCCTGCCCTTCCTCTCCCACGGAGCTCGGAAAAAAAAGGGGGGGGAATAATCATCTCTACACCGTTACAGCCTCATCTGGACAACCAGCCCCCCCCCAATTGGATTTCAAAGCTGGGGGACGGACTTTGAAAGAAGGATCGGCTCCCTCTCTTTGGGGAGCGGGCTGGGGGGGGAGAAACCCTTCTTAACACGAACTCTTGATTTTATTCTGAATTTCCCTCCCGCCACGTGAGGGAAATTCTCCTTCTCTCTCTCCCTCTCCCTCCTCAAGCCGTAATTGGTGGAGGAGGGTGCGTTATCCCCCTGGATAACTGGAGGGAGCTCCGCCCCCCAAGAATTGGAATTGCAGCTTCTCTTGCTTTCCGACTAAGCCCGGTGGGCTTCGGAGGGGGGGACCAGGAAGACCCTTAGCTCCTTCCCCCCCTCCTCTTTCTCTCTCTCTTTCTCTTTCTCATCCTCTGCTCTCGGATCAGGCTTTGAGGCTTGGCTGGATGGCTTTGGGCAGCCCTGGCGGCCGAGACGGGATCTGTCTGTGTGTGTGTGTGTGCGCGCACGTTGTACATAGATCGGGAGAGGCGCGCAGACCGGCATGTGGGTGGGAGGCCCACGCAGTGTATATCTCTTCCCCGTTTCTCTTTTCCCCCCCTCCTTTTCCTTGATCTGCAAAGAGGCTGCATAACCCCCGTGGGGATGTTTGGGTGTTTTTCCCTCTCCCTTTTTTCTCTCGACACTCGTCTCCCCTTCTTGGTGTCTCCCCCGTTTTTCTGGCTGCACCCCTCCCTCCCCCCCCGTCCTCAAAATCCTTCAGAGAAAACGTCCCGTCCCGTCCTTTCCAGATTTTCAAAGGTGTATTTTGGTTTTCTTTTTTTCTTTTTATCTCTTTTCGATTTTCTTTTGTTTTTCTTCTTCTTTTGCTTATAAACGAATAATAAAAGTCACCAAACGGAACCGTGCGTACGACTTCTTTTCTTTTTCCCTTTCAAGGAGTGGGGAAGAGTTTCTCCTGAAAAGCGAGGAAAAAGAAAAAGCCTTTAGGATGAGGGTAAAATATTTGGGGAGGGAGGGGTTTTTCTCAACAGCCGAGAGTCCAAGCAAGAAAGGAAAGGAGTCTGTAGTTCCTTACTTTGATCGGTGTTTTCAAAATCAATCTGTCTGTGTTTGTCTGTCCGTCTATATCTATGTATCTGTCTTTTATCATCTGTCTATGTATCATCTATCATCTGTCTGTCTGTCTTATCTATCTTATTGTCTGCCTCTGCGTGTCTGTCTTATCTATCCTATCTATATAATAATAATAATAATATAATAATAATAATAATAATAATAATAATAATAATAATAATAATAATAAAGTTGGAAGGGACCTTGGAGGTCATCTAGTCCAACCCCCTGCTCAGGCAGGAAACCCTATCCCATTTCGGACAAAAGGCTGTCCAGTCTCTTCTTAAAAACTTCCAGTGTTGGAGCATTCACCGCTTCTGGAGGCAGGTTGTTCCACTGGTTAATTGTTTGAACTGTCAGGAAGTTTCTCCTTAGTTCTAGGTTGCTTCTCTCCTTGATTAGTTTCCATCCGTTGTTTCTTGTCCTGCCTTCGGGCGCCTTGGAAAATAGCTTGACTCCCTCTTCTTTGGGGCAGCCCCTGAGATATTGGAACACTGCTATCCTGTCCCCCCTCATCCTTCTCTTCGTTGAACTAGACATACCCAGTTCCAGCAGCCTTTCCTTATATGTTTTAGCCTCCAGTCCCCTAATCATCTTTGTTGCTCTTCTCTGCACTCTTTCTAGAGTACATCATCTGTCTTGTCTTATCTATCTTATCTATTGTCTGTCTGTCTTATCTATCTATCCTATCTATAGTCTATCATCTATCTTTATCATCTGTCTGCCTGTCTGTCCTGTCTATCGTCTGCCTGTCTGTCTATCCATCCTATCATCTATTTATCTCTATC